CCGTTTATCGCACAGTGAGTACTCCTAATTATTTCCTTCTTAATTAATCGTGAAATACAACAAACAAGGATACCCTCAAACTCAATTGAATTCTACCAGTTTTACACTCAATGATCCCTTTGATTCCGCCGCGACCGTAAACGTGGTGGAAAACAACCTCAGTTCAGAGGGATACTTGCCCATGAAAGGTAGGTGAATATCGAGTTTCTACCAAAAACAAGAAAAAGTCTTCAGAATGAGGAATGCTAAGTTTCTACTTTACACATACAGACAACGCTCACAGCATAAGAACCCGTGGAAGATCCGGGTTAGAATTGATCTTCAGTAACCACATATACAATGTCCACAGTATATTAGGAATGCAGTGTCATACATATACAATGTCCACAGTATAAGGAATGCAGTTATCACACATATACAATGTCTCACAGTATAAGGAATGCAGTGTCACACATATACAATGTCCACAGTATAAGGAATGCAGTGTCCCACATATACAATGTCCACAGTATAAGGAATGTAGTGTCACACATATACAATGTCCATTAGTATATGGAATGTAGTGTCCCAATATATACAATGTCCACAGTATATGCAGTGTCACACATACACAATGTCCACAGTATAAGGAATGCAGTGTCACACATATACAATGTCCACAGTATAAGGAATGTAGTGTCCCACATATACAATGTCCACAGTATAAGGAATGCAGTGTCACACATATACAATGTCCACAGTATAAGGAATGTAGTGTCCCACATATACAATGTCCACAGTATAAGGAATGCAGTGTCACACATATACAATGTCCACAGTATAAGGAATGCTGTGTCACACATATACAATGTCCATACAGTATATGGAATGCAGTGTCCCACATATACAATGTCCACAGTATATAGGAATGCAGTGTCCCACACATATACAATGTCCACAGTATAAGGAATGCAGTTATCACACATATACAATGTCCATACAGTATAAGGAATGTAGTGTCCCACATATACCATGTCCACAGACAGAGAAAATGATATCTAAAATGTGTACCACATGCACTGTGTCTGTCAGACATTGGCAGAACTATCAGGAGAAAATCAACAGTGATACTGCAAAGTCACCAAATTTACCCAAAAAGTCACTAAACCTACAATAAAGTTACCAAGACACCAGAGAGTCATCAAATATACCAGACAGTCACCAAACACAGCAGTAAATCACTAAACCTACAAGATATGTCACCATCTCTACCAAAAGTCACTAAACCTCACAGAAAGTCATCAAACACACCAGAAAGTCACTAAACCCAGAAGAAAAGTCACCAACTCTACCCAAAAGAGTCACCACCACTACCCAAAGTCACAACCTCTACCCCAAAAATTTACCAACTCTACCCAAAAGTCACCAACCCAACCAGAAAGTCACCAACTTTTCCAAAATGTCACCAACTCTACCCAAATGTCACCACCTCTACCCAAAAGTCACCAACCCAACCAGAAAGTCACCTACTCTACCCAAATGTCACCACCTCTACCCAAAAGTCACCAACCCAACCAGAAAGTCACCTACTCTACCCAAATGTCACCAACTCTACCCAAAAGTCACCAACCCAACCAGAAAGTCACCAACTCTACCCAAATGTCACCAAATCTACCCAAAAGTCACCAACCCAACCAGAAAGTCACCAACTCTACCCAAATGTCACCAACTCTACCCAAATGTCACCAACTCTACCCAAATGTCACCAACTCTACCCAAAGTCACCAACTCTACCCAAAGTCACCAACTCTACCCAAATGTCACCAACTCTACCCAAAAGTCACCAACCCAACCAGAAAGTCACCAACTCTACCCAAATGTCACCAACTCTACCCAAGTCACCAACTCTACCCAAATGTCACCAACTCTACCCAAATGTCACCAACTCTACCCAAAGTCACCAACTCTAACCAAATGTCACCATCTCTAACCAAATGTCACCAACTCTACCAAAATGTCACCAACTCCACCCAAAAAGTCACCAACTCCACCCAAAAGTCACCAACTCACCCAAAAGTCACCAACTCTACCCCAAAGTCACTGACTACGAAAAGTCACCAACCAACTCAACAACAGCATCACCAAACATAACAGAAAGTTTCCTGTCTAATCAAAGAGTTACCCAACCTATCAGAAAGTTACCACACAACTCTGAAATATTACATTCCATACATAAAGGTGTCACATAACTGCAAGATGTGATACTAAATGATTTGTAATAGAACATATCATACAGAAACTGAAACTGACTGGCAGATATTTTGTTGGTTAATCAGAACTGTTTTCCGTCTGCCAAGAAGTATGTCAAACCCTAAAGCAAGAATGTAACTGTGAACTGCAGGCAGTGTGTGCTCTCAAACAAAGAACTAGCATAGTCTAACCACGAAAAGCTCTGACACTGCTGAGACAATGCATGGCACACACACACACACATACACATCACAAACTACCCTCTGCTTGAAGAAAGGGCTCTCATGCAATTTGCATTTGACTTGGTCCAACATATACTTACCTACAGGCTGAAGATGTGAAAATGAAAGTGAAATAACATTCAGTTAGCATGGTTAGAGTGACAGAATGTTGTTTTATGCCACTTTAAGGCATATTCCCACAGTATCATGATATCTGTAATGAATGGATTAGTGCCAGTGTATTCCCGACAAACAGAAAAACATTCCACCTAAAGACACCTTGTCTCCATGCAGGCACACCAATCTGGTCAACTGGTCACTCTCCATTTTGGCTTCATTGCAAGTTGAATTTGTATCTGTTTTCATGTGACATGTTTTGTCTGTTCATGGGGAACACATGGGGAAAGGATGTTTCCATTAAAGTTTGGGAAAACGGTAGGGCTGCGCAATATAACCGGTTTACCGCTATTAACAGGTTTAGACCTGAAAACGATACGTATTGCGATACGCTGATCTAAAAGCGGTATTTTGACTTGCATTCGGAAAACTTCGTAACACTCGGAAATCTTCGGATGTGTCCTTGTTTCATTTGTGCCAAATATTATTCACATTTTTATTTTATCATGATTAAAAGTTGTTATTAAAGCTTAATCAAGCCTAGTGATTTTGTTGTGTTTTGCTCTAAAAATCAAGAATTAACTTGATTATAAGTAGTTTTTGTTTAAAAATACTTAATGCAATATATTGCAATACATATCGCAATACATGCTGTCGCATCACAATATATCGCAATATGAAATTTCTCTGCAATACCCACCCCTAGAAAATGGAGTGATAAGCAATTAGTATGAGTCAGGATAATGTCAAATAAGTATATTTGTCCTCATGATCCAGGTATTAACCCATGGTATTGCGCGACGCACAAACGTGCACCTAGTCTGCACAGAAGTAAACAATGGACACAGAACAGCCAAAATACTGTGTCCGGAGTGACATACAAAAGTACCAAGAGCGTACCTACAGTGCATGAAGAGTAGTTACTAGTGTCTGTTATTTCCAACAGTCATGGTCACTGACTATGTGATCATTGATCATGATCACTGACTATGTGATCATTGATCATGATCACTGACTATGTGATCATTTGATCATGATCACTGACTATGTGATCATTGATCATGATCACTGACTATGTGATCATTGATCATGATCACTGACTATGTGATCATTTGATCATGATCACTGACTATGTGATCATTGATCATGGTCACTGACTATGTGATCATTGATCATGGTCACTGACTATGTGATCATTGATCATGATCACTGACTATGTGATCATTGATCATGGTCACTGACTATGTGATCATTGATCATGGTCACTGACTATGTGATCATTGATCATGATCACTGACTATGTGATCATTGATCATGGTCACTGACTATGCGATCATTGATCATGGTCACTGACTATGTGATCATTGATCATGATCACTGACCATGTGATCATTGATCATGGTCACTGACTATGTGATCATTGATCATGATCACTGACTATGTGATCATTGATCATGATCACTGACTATGTGATCATTGATCATGGTCACTGACTATGGGATCATTGATCATGATCACTGACTATGCGATCATTGATCATGGTCACTGACTATGTGATCATTGATCATGATCACTGACTATGTGATCATTGATCATGATCACTGACTATGTGATCATTGATCATGATCATTGACTATGTGATCATTGATCATGATCACTGACTATGTGATCATTAATCATGATCACTGACTATGTGATCATTGATCATGGTCACTGACCATGTGATCATTGTCACTGACTATGTGATCACTGATCATGCATCACTGAGCACGTGATAACTGATACATTCGAAAGCCTCTGAAGTCATCATACACTACACCATTTCAATAATTTGCAAGACCCAGCCATATTACCAGAGCGGACCCATGGAGCATACTGATAAGGGGCCCCTGGACTCCCTTCTGTAAGTCCAGGTAAAACCCTGTGAACTGCATATAACCTACTGTGTCTCACCTCAAGAGTCTTGGACAGGTAGATGATGCTGGCACGGAAGAACCCACTCAGCTTGTCTGGCATCACCACTAACAGCTGGCAACCGGAATGTCTGGTATTCTTCTCAAGCGGAAGGAGGAGTTGAAGGGTAGATGGAGATCGAGGAGTGGAGTGATGGATAGAGGAGTGACGAGCAGTGGAGGAGGAGCTTCTGAAGTGAGTGGAGTGGAGTGAGGAGTGAGGAGTGAGTGGAGGAGTGAGTGAGAGGAGTGAGGAGGAGTGAGGAGCGAGGGAGTGAGTGAGGAGTGAGGAGTGGAGGAGGAGTTAGTTTTACACCTCTTCAGGAATATTCCAGCAATATCACGTGGGGACACCAGAAATGGGCTTCACTCATTGTACCCATGTGACTTAATCGAGCCCAGGTCTTCAGCAGAGCAGACTCTTTAACCATTAGGCTACCCCACCTCAAATAAACTCGCTTCAAATAAACTTAAGAAGATCTTAAGTGGTGTATGTGGACTTATATACCTTGCAGGCATACTTGAAGAGCTGTCTAACAGGCCTCCAACCTTTTTCACATATGGTCGGTTCTTTGCTTCCAAAATCTGACCAAAAATCCTGCTTCTCTGCAAGCCTCTCTGAGAGGAAGGTTTTGAACATGTCAGTTTGGAGAACCTGTGATAATGGGAAATAGGAAAATTCTATTACTGTATATTATGAGTTTTAAGTCACACATTCTTTCTCGGCTTCCTGTTTAACTTCAGAATGCCAAATATAAATATCGGTAAGCACATCTCTGATGTGAGTATAGGGCTCAACATGCATGTCAGCCAACTGACTTTAACACATAAAACCTCGGCTCTATGCAGATTCATACTGAAGGTACAGGGATGAGAATCCTACCCATTTTTAAACATACAAATCTTTCATACATACAGAATCCTTAAGATGATAGGTCTGCATACAGTGAGTGAGTGAGTTTAGTTTTACGCCACACTCAGCAATATTCCAGCTATATGGCGGCGGTCTGTAAATAATCGAGTCTGGACCAGACAATCCAGTGATCAACATTAAGATGATAGGATATACTCCACGTTACACTGCATACAACTAAAACACTTACACATTTTGTGACATACAGGAAACTACTGTTATAACGAACTCAAAGGTACTGCTAATATTACTTCCTCATTATCATTATCATTACGACTTAAAGATGTAGTTAGTGCCCTGGGTGCCGTTGTACAAAACAACCTTAGCACTAAGGCTACCTTAAGTTTATGCTAAGGTATGGGAGTTACGGTCACCTTAGCTCTAAGGTCGCCTTGTACAACGTCACCCTGGACCCCAAAACAGTTGATTCAATCCGGCAGTTCGGTCGTTATATATGTAGTTTACTGTATTTTTAAAAAAAAGATTACTGAACTAAATACCATACAAGAAAATGCACCCCTTCCAAATAGTTATGTGCTATCTCTACTGGCCAGGGAGACCTCCATATTGGAACATAATGGTGCCTCGTAGCTGATGCAGGTACCTTAGGGTCCTTAGACCAAGCTCATCGCCATTAAAGACTCTTTAAAGCCATCTCACTCTTAAGACCATCATACTCAACAATCCTTTTAGAGGCAAAAGGCCAAGTCAGCCTTTATGCAGTTATTGTAACACTCAATATCAGTTTGACTCAACATTCTGTGACAGCTGTCAACCCCAAATGGTGGAAGTTGTATTCACATTCAATGAGTGAGTTAGTGAGTTTAGTTTTACACTGCACTCAACAATATTCCAGCTATATGGCAGCGGTCTGTAAATGATGGAGTCAGGACCAGACAATCCAGTGATCAACAGCATGAGCATCAATCTGCGCAATTGGGAACCGATGACATGTGTCAACCAAGTCAGCGAGCCGGACCACCTGATCCCGTTAGTCGCCTCTTACGATAAGCATGGGTTACTGAAGATCAATTCTAACTCGGATCTTCACGGGTCCCAAATCTTGGAGGCAGGCCCCAGTCTGAGAATGACCAGCATTATGCCAAGTATTTTGCGGCCCTCTGGTATAAAGTTGTATGGTAAATTGCCTCAACAGTAAGTTGTAGAAACAATAGCAAAAGTAGAAACAATGGCGAAAGCACTATGACAGTTGAGTGAGAAACAAGGCAATTCGGCACAAGATTAAAGCAAAATATTTAAAAACACTATTGTGAATTGGCATGAGGCTACAGAGGTACTGCGTGACAGAGTGAGTTGTTTTGAAAAAGTGTCAGTATTACGCCAAATAAACGAGAGCCTGATACCTCATTTTCGATATGATGCATTCCTCTGTTAAATAAATACAATATATTTATAGAAACACATGAAAAACAACAATTGGTAATTTATTGAGTTTGGAGTGAGTGAGTGAGTTAATATTGTTTTATGCCAATTTTAGCAGTGTTCAAGCAATTTCATGGCAGGGACACCAGAAATGGGCTTCAGTAACTTTCACACATTGTGCTGGGCCTTCGGACCTTTTAACCACTGGGCTACCCCACTGCCCCATCTGAGTTTGTAAGTGGGTAAATATGTTAGACACATTTGGCAATATTTCATCAATATTCAAGCCATTTTACAAGAAATGAGTTACCATTAGGCTGCTGCTCTGTTAATATTATTATAAAATATGTAAGAATGTATGCATGGTGTAGTAGTTCTTAGTTACCTTATCATAGAAGGGTTTGTCAGTCTCTGCTATAGTTTCCTTGAAAGCTTCAACATTAAACTTGCATAAATCCACCTTGAGTTCACGTATCACTCCCCTGCATAGAAAAATGGTTATAACATGTCCAAATTTATAATATTTATGATATTCTTATTAATCATATATGAATATTACAAAGTGAGAATAGAAATAATTAGAGCAAAATAAAGTCAGTTTATATTTACAGACTTGGAAAATTATCATTCACTAATATTTAGAAGAAATGTATGCTGCATTTCCTGGCCGACGTAATATCATAGACTGTGGTGGTGATGATAGTGTCAAAACGATTTATTATCTGTAAGTGAGTGACTTTTGGTTTTATGCCGCTTTTAGCAATATTCCAGCAATATCATGACAGGGGACACCAGAAATGGGCTTCACACATTGTACCCATGTGGGGAATCGAATCTGGGTCTTCGGCGTGACGAGCGAACGCTTTAACCACTGGGCTACCCCTACGGCACTTATTATCTGTGAAATATATATGATGCCCAAATAAATTGATCTCCAGACGAGGAGACATTTGAAAGTCATTTTCTATAAATATTGGACATATGACAGTACCCTCAGAATAAGGCCATGCTACTCTTACTCAATATGAATAACCCGTGAAGGTCCAGGTTAGAATGAACCTTCAGTAACCCATGCTTGTCGTATAGGCGACTAATGGGATCAGGTGGTCAGACTCGCTGGCTTGGTTGACACATGTCATCGGTTCCCAATTGCGCAGAACGATGCTCATGCTGTTGATCACTGGACTGTCTGGTCCTGACTCGATTAAATACAGACCGCCACCATATAGCTGGAATATTGCTGAGTGCGCGTAAAAATACTCACTCAGTCACTCATCACATGGAATAGCTAAATACACCATGAAACACATTGAACTCTAATACCATTAACTGACTGACTGACTGACTGAGTTTGGTTTTACGCCGCTTTTAGCCATATTCAGCAACATCACGGCAGGGGACACCAGAAATGGGCTTCACACATTGTAGCCATGTGGGGATTCAACCCGGGTCTTCGGCGTGATGAGCCAACGCTTTAACCATTAGGCTACCCCACCGCCCCAATACCATTAACTACTTAAATCAGGTAGACTATAGTGTATGCAAAATCCAATAACGTTGTTATGAGGTAGTATTCATTGTCAGTATAATACTATATTTTTTATGTTTGTTAGTGGATTGATGGAAGTGTTCATGAAACAGAATTACCTCCCTTACTTGTTTCATCCCAGCTCTTTCACGAATGACACATAGAAAGGTGAACTGAGTGGAATTTGTTTTAGTACAGGCGACATTTCATTAACCTCAATTAAGGAAACAGTTTCTAGAAGGCTGACTGTATAAGAGCAAGACGAGAATGATTGAATGTCTCATTCTATGATCTGATCTACATGTAGGAAAACATGAACCTTTCGCCAGCTTCCAACAGATTCAAGAGTCCAGCATATAACTCAATCATTTTTCCCCATTGTGTTGCCTTTTATGACTGTAAACCAAATTTTGTGTGTCTCAGTATAATTTGCTAGTTAGTTATAGATCTACTAATGTGGTTATCTACTGATTTTACAATTAGTTTCCAGTTTAACCTTTGCATCTCAACTAAGGAATAAACACATGACAATATTAGAATTCAACATTACAGACAAATCAGTTTCAGACAGTAGTCTTAACTTCAAGGCATAATTACAGTTCATTTGTTTTCTATACAATTCTTCAAGACCCCAAAATGCCCCATCTATGATTTGTTGGGCTTTGTAAATATTAGTCAGGATGGTCTTTTTGGAGCAAAGGTGAGGTGAGGTGAAAATTGGGTTTAACGTCGTGTTTGAGAATATTTCGCTCATATGACGACGTGCATGCTTGTGTATGTGTATGTGCGCCTGCTTGTACTAGCCCAGACTTAAGCTGGTTTTATAGTGCTAGCCCACTGAGATACCATGCCGCAGTGAAGCATGAATACCCCACTCAGACACATTATACCGACTCCAAGCCGACCAGTCCTTGTTGTACCCATTAATGCCGAGCGCCAGGCAGGGACCAACAAGTACCATATTTTAACGTCTTTTGGTATGAGGCGGTCGGGGATCGAACCCGCGACCTTCCGCTCTCAGGGCTGACGCTCTAACCACTACACCACGGAGGCGGTTTTGGAGCAAAGGATTCAAGGGAGATGACAATTTCAGAGAAATACCATTTCCTCAATTCTGCTGTTTTGTCAATGAATTGCGAAAGTAAATTTCAATGTGAACAAGTATTTGTGTAGATTTTAGTTTGCTTATTTGTTTGTTTGTTTAAATCCAGAGTCAGTAATTTCCCAGCCATCTGTAAATAATTGAGTCTAGACCAGACAATAAAGTGATTAACATCAAGAGAATTGATCTATGGATTTTGATACAACGACTTGCATGTCAGACCACCCGATCACATTACATGCCTTCAACAACTAGCAATAGTTTTGAAAGACTGTTTCTAACCCAGATTTTCACCATTGCTGTGTAGATAGTAGGTAAAATGATATATCATATCAGAAAACAGTGAGTGAGTTTAGGTTTACTCAGTAATATTCCAGCTATATGATGGCAGTCTGTAAATAATCGATTCTGGACCAGACAATCCAGAGATCAACATCATGAGCATCGATCTACGCAAATGGGATATGATGACATGTGTCAACCAAGTCAGCGGGCCTGACCACCCTATCCTGTTAGTCGCCTCTTAGTCTTATGACAAGCATAGGTTACTGAAGATCAATCCCAGCCCGGATCTTCACGAGTCTATCAGTAAGCAGACAAAATAAAGCAAAATATAATGTTTGTAAAGCATACTGCAGTGTACTAGAATAGTTTTTAATATTGTGCAATCTTTACTATACAGATTTGGAACATTTATCTGTATAACTACCTGAAAAGGTTGACCATGAGTTCAAGGAAGGCCAGAGTTATCTGCCTGTTGAGCTGGTGTATCTTCCTGGACCTGTACTTCCTCTCTTCATTCAGATTATAGATGAAGGGTCTGGGAAGGAACAAGGTCAATATTTCAGTTCAGCAAAATACAGTTCTGGAAAACATATCATATCTTTGTCAACATTATGAATTCTGCTGTGACAAACCTATTAAAAACAGAATACATGAACTGAAGAATATGTTATTACATGAATTGTATATTGTAGTTTCAGAATCTAAGATACTGTGACAGAAGACAGTGGATAATTTCAATAACTTAATGTAAATATACTTCACAGAGAGATATTTTGGTACATGTGTGTGCTCAGATACATGCTTTTGTTCAGCCAATTAACTACTGTCTTCCCTTGTGAAATGTCAGCCTTTGTCATATTATCATAATATAAATATACAATTTACAGTTAAAATTTCCAAATTTTGGCGTTTCACATATATAGAGATCATTACACAAGCAAGTGTGTCATACAACTTATACCAAATGAGTGTGAAATTTTGTATGAAGTTTGTATAAGTCATATGCCACACTTGCTTGAGTGTAATAATTTCTTTATTATCCATTTTATTCATGTACATTTATGCAGTAAAACACGGTAAGCAAGTGTGACGACCCTCTTCATTAATGTCACGTTCAATTGTTAAATGACGTCACAGACGATGAAATACAGAAACAAGGGTTGCTAGGCAAAAGTGACACGTGCACATGTGCACATATAATATATATGACACTGGTTATGTTTCACAACATGGGTAATAAAACATGTATAGCTACCTGCCACCCATCTTTCATTCACCTGATGAAAGAGTAAGAATATACTCTAAAACGTCGTGTTCCTAACATTACAGAAGTCGACATCCATAAACTTTTCTCCATTATTTAAACCTTCTAAATGCATTCAAAGACTTTATACTTAAAGGGCAAGTATACACGAAAATGAACCTATTTTTCTTGCTCTTTTTTTAATATGAAACTTATTTACTTGGTACTTTTAAAGACAAAAACAGTAAAATTATAAAAATTAACTATATATATTTTTTGTAGGAAAACGATTTCTATTTTACACATTTACCAAGTGTTCCATTTCAATAGTAAAAACACCATGGCTTATGTCCATTGGAAATGACGTAATTGGTGCCACATTTATAAACAAATGACGTCATCAGGTTGTATGGAACCGCTTCACGTAGTGCAAGCACAAGTGTTTGATTCCAGTGTCTCAGATGCGCATCCTATTGAAATGGTGCACTGTTCAGTCCCTCGCTGTATGAACCACAATGCAAACAAACATGAAAGGATGAGTGAGTGAGTGAGTTTAGTTTAATGCCGCTGTCAGCAAGATTGCAGCAATATCAGGTGACACCAGAAATGGGCATCACACATTGTACCCATGTGGGGAACCAAACCCTGGTCTTTGGCTTGATGAGCGAACACTTTAACCACTAGGCTACCCCACCACCCCACAATGAAAGGATGAAATGGAAATATTACTTATACTTATAGCACAAGTATTCTCATTATTATCTCAGTGAAACATTCTCAATAGGACAGCCATCAATATCTGACTTATAAATGGCCAACACTTCATGATAGTAAAGGTAAGATACCCACAGTTGTCATTCAAAGTTGGCCCCAAGTTATTGGGTAGTTAACTATTCTACTGCGAAACTCAGTTCAGGTTAATATGATCCAGGCCACCCAAGGCGGCCTCATGCTTGACCTTACCTGTGAAGATCCGGGGTAGAATAGGTCTTCAGCAACGCATGCTTGCCACAAAAGGCAACTATGCTTGTCGTAAGAGGCTTGACTAATGGGATTGGGTGGTCAGGCTCGCTGACTTGGTTGACACATGTCATCGGTTCCCCATTGCGCAGATCGATGCTCATGCTGTTGATCACTGGATTGTCTGGTCCAGACTCGATTGTTTACAGACCGCCGCCATATAGCTGGAATATTGTTGAGTGTGGCGTAAAACTAAACTCACATACTCATGCTTGACCTACCTCTGCACATCATCAAGGTCTGTCTGGTAGCGAAAAGCCTTGGCAACTTTCCTGAAGAACTGTGCCGGCTCAACTGGTACATCAGGGATTGTCTTCTCTACACCTCCATTGTCTGAAGGTTCTGGGTTTATCTTTACTGTGTCGTCATCAATGTTGACAACAACCAGTCCCTCCACCTACAAACATGAGAGAAGCAACCTTTCTGAGCTGTTCTAAGTAGATGCTGTTGACTTGATATGACATCTCTCTCTAAAATTACCAAACTGGTACACTTAAAGATAACAGCTGTGACATCACACCTACAGGTACTTACTTCCTTATTCTCCAGATCATAATAGTGAATTAAACATACCCATCTGATCCATCAAATCCAGGTGCTTGCCATGACAACAAGGTACCCACCTGATCCACCACATCCATATGATTGCTGTGACATCAAGGTACCCACCAGATCCAGGTGCTTGCCATGACAACAAGATACCCACCTGATCCACCACTTCCATATGATTGCTGTGACATCAAGGTACCCACCTGATCCACCACCTCCAGGTGCTTGCTTTGACAACAAGATACCCACCTGATCCACCACCTCCATATGATTGCTGTGACATCAAGGTACCCACCTGATCCACCACGTCCATATGATTGCTGTGACATCAAGGTACCCACCAGCTCCAGGTGCTTGCCATGACAACAAGATACCCACCTGATCCACCACCTCCATGTGCTTGCCATGACAACAAGATACCCACCTGATCCACCACCTCCATGTGCTCCCACCACCTTCCATATGCTTGCTGTGACAACAAGATACCCACCTGATCCACCACCTCCATGTGCTTGCCATGACAACAAGATACCCACCTGATCCACCACCTCCAGATGCTTGCTGTGACATCAAGGTACCCACCATATCCACCAGGGTGCTTGCCATGACAAGGTACCCACCTGATCCATACATCCACCTTGCTATGATCCACCACCTCCAGGTGCTTGCCATGACAACAAGATACCCACCTGATCCACCACCTCCATATGCTTGCTATGACAACAAGATACCCACCTGATCCACCACCTCCATGTGCTTGCCATGACAACAAGATACCCACCTGATCCACCTGATCACCTCCATATGATTGCTGTGACATCAAGGTACCCACCTGATCCACCACCTCCAGGTGCTTGCCATGACAACAAGATACCCACCTGATCCACCACCTCCATGTGCTTGCCATGACAACAAGATACCTACCTGATCTACCACCTCCATATGCTTGCTGTGACATCCCATCATGAAGGTACCTGGAGCCTCCAACAGCTCTAAGGAAGACATGGAAAGGATCGGGACGTATGTGAACCTCCAGGAGAATGGCAGGATAAAGTTGAGGAAGCTCTAAACATAAAATATCACATATACACTCAAAAGATAATGTAACGATTATCAATTTCCATTTATCTGATAATTTGTATTCCAAAAATACATAAATGAAGACAGATGGACATACGATAAGACTTTTAATCATATATAAAAGATATTCAAATATCAAGTTCCAAAGCAGTCTAGCAAATACTATTTCCTAAACACAAGTTCTAGTTAGTTTTATACCTCAATAGATACAATTCTTTCCTTAGACTGACTGACTGACTGCTGTTTTACGCCGCTTTTAGCAATATTCCAGCTACATCACGGCGGGGGACACCAGAAATGGGCTTCACACAATGTATCCATGTGGGGATTCGAACCCGGGCCTTCGGCGTGACTCTTTCCTTAGAGATGTGCGACTGATTTGGTTTTAGATGTGTGACTACTTCTCACCCAGCTGTGGAAATTCTTTAATACTGAGCACACAATTTCAGAAATAATATTCCCCTAAAGATGCATGATCCTGAACACATTTTGTGCAGTATGTGTAACAGACATAGAGAGAAGGGACAATTGGCTGTTGCAGTGTAAGCTTAACCTGACCTCCATGATGACTGCCAGTTTGCCATAGCTGGAGGACACGAAAACAATCCGCTCCTCAGTGAGGATGCTGGTGAAGATCTTGAGAACATTGTCTATAGAGAACGAGAGGAAGACTAGGTGCAGGGGGATGTCGATCACTGGCGTGTCAGGCCAGTCGGAGGGGTACAGGATCATCTGCATCTGGAAGGCTGAGAGCGTCAGGATCTGTAACATCAGTCATCTCATTACGTTCATTGCTTTAGAAGAACAATTCAAGATCAAAGTAATTTGTTTTTATCACAGAAAACTAAAATAATCAAAAACAAGTTATGAGTCTGAAAGATGAAAAAAGACATGTTTAATGTTAGGATCTGTTTGGTTTTCTTGGTGAGGTAAAACCAGAAAGATTGTTAGTATGACCATGTGAGATCTAGATGAGGATTTAGATTTTTCCCAAGCCACTCACTCAGTGGAAGAGGTCTAAAAGTGAACATGTCTTCATGACTTGACATGGAGATTCCACCTAAAATTTGTCCTCAGGAACAAATGTTTGTCCTGTGAAATGACATATTAGTTCGGTTGCCAGGCTTGGTTGACAGTGTCAGTGTATGCCGCCATCATGGAGAGTTGCTCATGTTATCAATCACTGGATTGTCTGGTGCAGACTGAAATATTTATATAGCTGGAATATTGTGGTGAGGTGAGGTGAAATTGGGTTTAACGTCGTGCTTGAGAATATTTCGCTCATATGATGACGTGCATGCGTGTGTATGTGTATGTGCGGCTGCTTGTACTAGCCCAGACTAAAGCTGGTTGTATAGTGCTAGCCCACTGAGATACCATGCCGCAGTTAAGCATGAATACCCCACTCAGACACATTATACTGTCGTAATTTGTACCCAATAATGCCGAGCGCCAGGCCGGGACCAACAAGTACCATATTTTAACGTCTTTTGGTATGACGCGGTCGAGGATCAAACCCGCGACCTTTCGCTCTCCGGGCGGATGCTCTAACAACTACACCACAGAGGCGGTCGGAATATTGTGGAGTGATGCATTATGTGACAACAAACAAACAAACAAACAAACAAACAAACTCACCACAGAGACATTGCCAGGTGGGGGAACGGGGGTCAGTGTGAGGACGTAGGTGAACTCCTTCACAAAGAAGAACATTTCTTCTATGTCACGTTCTATGTTATCAACCATACTGAAAAAATACAGCAGCTTGTATCAGGTGACAGTTCAGCCTGCAATAATCTAAATAATGCACTCCAAGTCATTTTCATTTGTATCAGATGTGGTGCTCTCTATCATGTACAGGGTTATTAAAATTTAACTAAACCTGCAGAGGTTTCCAATTCTTTGAAGAGAGTCGTCCTTTGGGTACATATATGCATTTTCTGGGGCTGAAAATGTCCTGTGACAGTTGTATCAATGTTTTAATAAATATATTGTACAATAAATAAAAATCTTTTTTATCTATTATATGGCCCCCATCACGTGGAGTTACCTCCCTGCTACGCATGCGCAGACAACCAGGTAAACACCTAGGCCCGTATCATCATTCCTTCTGCTGAATAAATCAGTGAACAGAATTGCGGGGAGGTTGGCGGCCCTACCCCAAGGACGACTCTCTTCAAAGAATTGGAAACCTCTGCAGGTTTAGTTAATTCTTTTTCAGAGAGATCGTCCTTGGGGTACATATATGCATTAACTCAGACTCCCAAAGACCGGAGGCCAGGGAGGAGGGAATTCTGTCAAAGTACCCATGAATAGCGATCGTTAGGAAGAATGCAACAGACGCCACAACACTCACCTGTCACGTGTCCCGAAGCATCAGCGAGAGGCATTATGGGAGGGTAACCGACAGGGAGGATAAGAACTTAGTTCCGACCTCATGTGTTAAGCATAGCAATTCGCACACAATGCAAAAATAAAACCCCCGCCCACATCATCATCTATTAGAGAACACCGTAACGGGGAAAAACCAACTCACAACCGACCATAATCTCCGGAGAGAATCGAAAGGAGTTAGATCACACAACAGCGGACATATCAATAAAACACAATTGAAAGCAGCGTCAACTGACCAGATAACCAAGACTCACTCGGTCAGGGTGGCAGGACACTGTCCACTGGAGAGAACAGAACGGCCAAAACGCGCACGATCAAGTGAATGTGTATCGAGCTGATAGTACCTGATAAAAGTGCTAGGCCTGCTCCAAATAGCGGCAGAGCATATCTCTTCAATGGGTAGTGCTGATGCAAAAGCCTTTGACGTGGCTACTGCCCTGACCGAGTGAGCCTTCAACCCCTCAGGGGGAGGCTTGACCATAGCCTGATAAGCAGCACAAATGACCGATATACAAGCCAGCGAGACAGGGTCTGTTTGCTTGCCCGGCACCCCAGCCTTCCCGCCACCGCAACAGCAGAACAGATGGGTCCCCGTACGGATCCCTTGTGTTCGTTTGATATGGACCTTCAGAGTCTTTCGGACATGCAACGGGCGAGTGCTCGTTGCAGAGGTCCCTGATGTGGAAGGCTGGGTAAGAGTAGGAAGTTCGATAGGAGCTGTCACATGGAAAGCGTGATCAATCTTCGGACGGTAAGTATCCGGGTGGCAAGTACTGACACGATCTGGATGGAACACAGTCAGCGCAAGGGCTGCCCAGACGTTACCGCCACCAGAAATACAGCCTTCCATGTTAACAACTGAATGGAAATAGCCGATAGACGTGAGAACGTAGGACTGGACATCCAATCAAGCACAATTGACAAATCCCAAGGTGGGCTGGTTCGCCTGACAGCAGGTCGAACCTGATCCACGCCAGCTAGCAAGCACTGCATAAGAGGGTGCTGCCCCAGAAGAGCACCATCGACAGGGGTGTGAAAAGTGGAAACAGCGGTGGAGTAGCCACGAATGGTCGAAGCCACCAAGCCTTCTTACAAACAAGCTTGCAAAAACTCCAATACTCGGACTAAATCCGCAGAAAAGGGATCTGCAATCCCCTTATCTGAACACCAGCGCATAGCGGGACCACCTATCCTCATATTGAACGTTTGTCGAATCCCGCCTCAAAGCCAGAATTGTGTCTGCAACTGCTGCAGGAATTCCGCGTGCTTCGAGGCTAGACATGACAGAGGCCAAGCCACCCACTGAATCCTTGGATTGGGGTATGGCGCGCCGTTCTGAGTGAGAATGTCCGGTCGCAAAGGTAATAGAACAGGAGGCTGAGCCAGAAACCTGAGAATTACCGGAAACCAGCTCTGTGACGGCCATAGCGGTGGCAGTAGCACAAGTAGCCCAGCTGGCTGGGTGGACAGCTGGGAGAGGACCCGGGGAATGAGTGGTAGCGGTGGGAATGCCCAGCTTACTTTGCAGTCCAATCCAGCAGAAAGGCGTCGGAATCAATGCCCTCTGGTCTGAAGCCAACGCCTCTCTGGTATCTATTCAAGTCCCAGGAGACAAACCCTGGGACTGTGAGACACTGCCAGTACAAGCTTGCTGTATAGAGCTCATCCTCAACCACGCCCGCCACACTACAGAGATAGTTGCCGCCATTTGACCCTGTAGACGGAGCCAAAGTCCGCTGGTGCCTGGGGCTCAGACAGGAACAACACCATCTCCTGTACTCTGGTGACCCGGTCAGGCGACAATTCCCACAAGATCCTTGTGAGTTTGGAACACGCGCCCTGAGAAAACCAAGTCCTGGGTGGGTACCAGGTTGGATTTCTTGAGGTTTATGATCCACCCCAGTCGAACTAGAATGTCTATCACCGTATGGGTAGAATCTAGGCTTGCTGGCTGAGTTAGAGCTGAGCAACCAGTCAGTCAGGGGTAAGGGTTGAACAACGCCTTCCTTGGCGACCTTGGCGAGGGTAGCTGGCACTAACATGAGCTTGGTGAACTGTAACACCCCGGGGCAGTGGATATGCCAAGGGGAGCACCCTGAATTGGTAACCCATCCCGTCATAAGAGAACCGGAGGTACTGCTTGAATGATGGATGAATTGGCACATGTAGATACGCATCCTTTAGATCGATCGACGTAAGCCAATCGCCGGGCTGAACAGAGGAGATCACCGAGCGAGGTGTCTCCATCTTGAAGGATGGAACCTCTAGCATGCGATTCAACCCCTTGAGGTTGAGAATGGGATGGCCCCCGCCGTCCTTCTTCAGAACGAGGAAGTACATAGAATAAAACACTGCCTGTTCCTCGCCCGGTGGTATGCGCTCTATTGAGGACTTGTCCAGCAAAGCCTGAACTTCGTCTCGCAGTATGCCCGCCTTGACCGGACATGACGGCACCGGAGTGCGACGTATGCCGGTGAATTCTGGTGGGCCTCGCTTCCACAGTGGTAGATGGCCGACACTGATGGTGGAAAGCACCCAAGTGTTGCTGGTAGCCTTCTCCCACTATAGGAATATAGAGAGGCGACCCCCCACTGGGACGTGTGGTAAGAGTGAGTGAGTGGTCCCTTGCAGAGCTGATCTGACCCACGGCGACAGCCTGCAGGTTTAATGAGAGGTCAAGGCAGACCTCCTGCGACCGCGAAAAGGCTGAAGGGAGCCAGACGAAGAGGACTGCTCCTTGCCCTTACCTTTGGCGGGACAGCTCCTCCTCCTACCCCTGCCCAGCGGCCGAAGCCAGCCGGCAGACTCAGGTGAAGGCTGCACCCCAGAGGAGGAACACGCTACGGGAGCACCTTAGAATCCTTGAAGGAGGTAGCTGCAGCAGCAGCCTCCCGAATGACCTGCTGAGCCCCTGGAAACAACATCGCTCCCAGACAGAACGGAAGGGCTAGCAAGGTCTGCTGTGTTGCTGCCGAGTAGCGGGACATAGACAGCCACAGCTTGCGCATCCCCATGACTGCGCACATCACCGTGACGACACGCAGACCGCAAAGGGCAGCATGCTGGGTGGGCCTGCACTTCGGACAACTGGCGAAGCAGAACAACATGCGGGGACACGTCCCCAGTGCTCCCTTCAGCCTGCAGAGCCGACCTTTGGATAGAGGAAAGGTAGGCCTCATGGATCACCACCCGCACCTGCTGCATGGCATTCCAGTAGACTTCCTCATAAGTCCGGTAAGCCTGCCGCAGGGGGGCGCTCGCAAGGGCAAACGGTGGAACTAAACGCCCCTGCTTGGCAGCCGGGGCTGCACCAGAGGAAGCCGAGCCTCCCCCGAGGGCGACCGAAGTGAACACGCAGTTATTAACCACCGGCACAAAGAACAGCGAATCGTCCCCCAGCTGGTACCTCTTAACGAGTTCGGGCAAATCGAATTGAAGGCGTGTCCCAACCAGGAGGGGATCCATCACGTCCTGTACCAGGGAAGGCAAGATACAGAGCAGTGTCTCGCGAGGGTTGCCTAGGGCAAACGCCTTGCCCGAGTGACAGGTGGGTACCAGCGGCTTGGGGAAATACAGTGAAGCCTCGTTTATCCTCGAATAGTCCGGACTACTGAATCAAGACCCAAGTTCAAGCAAGAGTTGCTTCCCTTACTATTACAAAAAAGCGACCACGAATCTGGATAAAACAAATAAGCATTTAATGTAAAGCTCATAAAACAATGAATAGCAAGCACAACAATAATCTATAGTCATAGCAAAAAGTCTTTCATTGTTGTTTGTGTTACGTTTAACCTTCCTCATTGAATTCATCACATGAATAATTTTACCGAGTGACATCCATGTTGATCCAACGTGTCTGATCACGTCCTTCCTCAGCACAGGTGAGGTAATGTCTAACAAGCGATCTATTTTAGTATGCCTTGAATGTCCGAATTATTCCTGCATCCATCGGGTTGAATATGAGACATGGTATTTGGTCACATTTCATAAAAGTTAGCGAAGCACACTTGTGACTTGCAGCGTTGTTGAGTCCATGTGACCGCGATCTGTCTGTCAAAGTACATTAACCAATCACAAAATAGCTCACTTGTCATCAAAACCTTTGTATTGTGGTGTCAATCAAAGTGTAAATGTACAGCATCTTCAGTCGGGAGATTTTAATGTCTAACTAAAACAACAACCCCTTAATAGACATTTCTCAAAAGTTAACAAGAGTTCATCTTGTCAACTCCATGACACGAGTTTTATTGTTTATGGCCAGTTAAGTAAACATTGCGGTGGGGTGTTGTTATGGTTCGTGAACCACGACTTACAGCATCCGGACTGTGAAGCAATTTACTGTTTATTTTACTGATTGGTTACAGCTACTTACCGTCGGTTCCGGATTATCGAGGCAAATTAAATAGGCATAGATTGGTAACAAGCTAAAAATCGTAAGTTTAATACAAAGTCACATAAATGAGAAATAACAGACAGCAAAGTCAATAAAACTGTTCTGGCAAGAACGAATAAAGAACATACATACAGTTGTTGGAGTCTCAAAACATTCTTTATCTCTCAAAGAGGAGTAATTCAGCTAGGATACTTTCGAAACATGTGTGAAGGCTTTGGTGACAGCAGAAGGAATGATGATACGGGCCTAGGTGCTTACCTGGTTGGCTCGCATGCAGCAGGTGGTAACTCCACATGGTGGGGGCCGTATAATAGATAAAAAAGATTTTTATTTATTGTACAATATTTTTATTAAACATTGATACAACTGTCACAGGACATTTTCAGCCGCAGAAAATGCATATATGTACCCCAAGGATGATCTCTTCAAAGAATCGGTGCCACTTCAGTTCTAATAATCAAAGAGATTTGTGTACAAGTGTGAGTGAGTGAGTTTAGTTTTACGCCGCACTCAGTAATATTCCAGCTATATGGCGCGGTCTGTAAATAAATGAGTCTGGACCAGACAATTCAGTGATCAACAGCATGAGCATCGATTTACGCAATTGGGAACAAATGACATGTGTCGTGCCTGACGACCCAATCCCGTTCGTCGCCTTTTACGACAAGCATGGGTTACTGAAGATCAATTCTAACCTGGATGTTCACAGGTTTGTGTACAAGCAATATTTGCTGAAAAACACTTGACACCCACATTAATACAAGCATGACATTTTTGCCTATATTTCTGACATATACTATGCTTGTATTCCTAATGAATCATGTATCCATGCAGTATTACCATGAGAGACATTCCTTCATTGAGTAGAAGTAGGGATACTTGGAGATGAGGATGCAGCACTGTGGGACATACGCTCGCGTCTTCGTGCTACTCAGGTTTGTCTTCTTCACCTCAAGACTCAGGTTCAGGTTTTCTGAATCTTCCTAAAAACACACATGGATATTCATGATATGAGAGAAAGAAAATCACACCTTAACCATTCAGATGATTTTATATTTAACAACAAAATGCACAATTATGACTGACTGACTGACTGAGTTTGGTTTTACGTCGCTTTTAGCAATATTCCAGCAACATCACGGCGAGGGACACCAGAAATGGGCTTCACACAATGTACCCATGTGGGGATTCGAACCCAGGTCTTCAGCGTGACGAGCCAACGCTTTAACCACTAGGCTACACCACCACCCGCACAATTATGAAATCATACATAGATAGATAATTATAATCAACATATCATATGCAACATAGAAAGTTTGTTCTATATTGAAGAAAGTGTCATCTGTGTGGATCATGCATTTTTTTCAGACTGTGATACTAATATGCTTCAACAAAACATGTTAAAGGAGTATTCACAAAATACATAAGTCCCCATTTCTTGTTTCATTGTTTACAAGGTTTGTACATCTATGTGAAACATACCCATTAAACTGAATGCTTTGGAATTTTTAAAAAGTACATAAATCTGTATATGGCACAACTAAAAGCAGACCCTATCTGCTTACTAGTACTAATCCAACAAATAGAAATATGGTAAATGGCAAAGAATATAGAAGATACTGTTTTGACAAGTCAGCTTTCTTACTTCTTAAAAAGAATCTACACAAAACCCTTTTTAAGAAGAACAGACTAAGTTACTGCACAGCACAATTTGCTCTAAGTAATGGTTTTAAAAGTGACCTGTCTCTATATCAGAAAGGTAAGTAATGGTTTTAAAAGTGACCTGTCTCTATATCAGAATGGTAAGTAATGGTTTTAAAAGTGACCTGTCTCTATATCAGAATGGTAAGTAATGGTTTTAAAAGGGACCTGTCTCTATATCAGAATGGTAAGTAATGGTTTTAAAAGGGACCTGTCTCTATATCAGAATGGTAAGTAATGGTTTTAAAAGTGACCTGTCTCTATATCTGAATGGTAAGTAATGGTTTTAAAAGTGACCTGTCTCTATATCAGAATGGTAAGTAATGGTTTTAAAAGTGACCTGTCTCTATAGTAATGGTTTTAAAAGTGACCTGTCTCTATATCAGAATGGTAAGTAATGGTTTTAAAAGTGACCTGTCTCTATAGTAATGGTTTTAAAAGTGACCTGTCTCTATATCAGAATGGTAAGTAATGGTTTTAAAAGTGACCTGTCTCTATATCAGAATGGTAAGTAATGGTTTTAAAAGTGACCTGTCTCTATATCAGAATGGTAAGTAATGGTTTAAAAGTGACCTGTCTCTATATCAGAATGGTAAGCAATGGTTTAAAAGGGACCTGTCTCTATATCAGAATGGTAAGTAATGGTTTTAAAAGTTACCTGTCTCTATATCAGAATGGTAAGTAATGGTTTTAAAAGTGACCTGTCTCTATATCAGAATGGTAAGTAATGGTTTTAAAAGTGACCTGTCTCTATATCAGAATGGTAGTCATGTATGTCAGCCTCATAGTGCTTGTTACTTAGGAATGTTAAATCTGATTTTCTTGTTTGGATTACCAATCTTCTTTAATTTCATCATGTCATAATCAAAATCAAGTCTGATATCTTCAATAACAATATTTCAAAATTTTCCATGACATTGAAATTTGCCATTTAAACATGTTAAAGAGACCCAAATAATGCCTGGCTAGCTATTCTCAAAACATTCGTAGCCCTACGAATTTCTTAAACCCATTCTTAACACATTGCCTACGATCAAAGTTAAGAATTCTTAGGGCTACGAACGTTTCGAGAATAAGGGCCCTGGTCCTTATTTCACTCATGTTACTCGACCCATGAAGATCCAGGTTAGAATTGGTCTTCAGTAACCCATGCTTGTTGTAAGAGGTGACTAATGGGATGGGGTGGTCAGGCTCACTGACTTGGTTGACAGATGTCATTATATCCCAATTGTGTGATCCATGCTAAAGCTGTTGATCACTGGATTGTCTGGTTCAGACTTGATTATATACAGACTGCCACCATACAGCTGGAATATTGCTGAGTGTGGCATAAAAATAAACTCACTCACTCATGTCACTCAAAAGGTGTTACCTTCTGCAAGACATATGGCTTGTAGAAGGTGAGACAAGTAGCGTAAGTCCTGTTGCCGGATAGATCCGTGAAGACAAGGTAATGGACAGAGTTTTCAGGTTTGTTTCTGTACACTTTGGCATTTTCTGTCGACAAAATAAGAATTGTTATTAAATAAAACACATTTTAAAGTATAAAACTAAAAAATAATTAAAGATTACTTGATTCTTTGACATCAACGTGGTTATATCATGGCATGACAGATTAACTTTAGTAAAATGAAATACCTGGAAAACAGAACGTAGGAATCGAACGAATAACTTCTTCTGATAAAGGGAGATCGGTCATAGTCACAGAGCGATAATTGACAGGAAGCGTCCGTCGAATCAGGTGTTTCTTCAAAAGTGGTAATGGACTGCTGGATGGACTACGGCTGATGGTTGGACTGTAACGACGGCGTCCTTCACGGATAGTTTTGGAACGTGTAGGGAGACTAAGGAATTGTTCTCCTGAACTGTCCAGTGAATTGCCTGTAGAACCACAGCTGACAGGAGGGTAGTGGGGATCTTCTTTCAAGTATGGCTGGAAGTATGTGGCTTTACTTGATGAAACTGCAGCAAGGACGTGTGCTCATAGTCCTGGTAGAACAGGTTGAGGAGGAGGCTATCACTATCTCGCTGAAACAAGATGCCTCCTATTAAAGCATTATGTTAACATTGTTTCATCTATTCATCCCACAAAATTCCATTTCACTTTACTTCAGTTTCTAGAACAAAACTTCAAAGGTTTAGATTTTTCTCTTATACAATATTGTTTTTATTATCCTCTATTCCAAATAACTGATCCCAGCTTTGAACACCATCAGCTGCAACAAAATATTATAATTGCAGAAATTTCTTTTAAAATCTCATGGTTAAGTATAGAGTATGTACTAAAATTCTTTTTTCACAAAAACAAAATTATACTTATTTCATATGGCCGAGAAAATTATTTACAATGCAGTTACTTAAACTGACCAAGATCATGTTTAACATATTTAAAGTCAACATATGTTTTCAGATGAATAAATGCAAAAAATAGATTAGGTTATCCAGTACTATTGTTTTAACATCTTGTCTATAAGGATATTCTGTATTATTGTTATAGTTTTCATAGACATACTTCTGCATCTTTGTCTGCTGGAACAAGTCCAGTGTTTTCGTCAATGCCAACTACGATCAAAACTTCCACAAATCTGTTGTAGAGACTGTAGGCATTGCAGGTATCATCCATGTCTTTAAGTCCAGCCATGTTTTCTGTACTGCTTTGTACTGATGTCGCTCAGTGAAATCCTACTGTCGAGTCACTGTTAGAATCATGTTGTGTTTAAAACAATGTTTTGTGAAACAACTGCAACAATGTCTGAGCATGCCATGCTCTTCTCCACAAGAAATCTATAAGAAAAGAATCATTAAACATTTTATTATTTATATTCACATAATATTTTCTACCTAGTTTCGTTTTAGAGTAAAAATATTAATGACAGGGCACTAAATATATGATGATAATGAAGACACATTTCAAAGGAAAATCTCTTAAGTTATTAAACCTACGTAAATAACTGTGTATCGGTACATAAACATCAATGACAGGTAGTGGAATAGATACGTAGGTTCGAGAAATGATTATAGCTAGAGAAAAGAAGTTCGAATAAACATGAACTATCCCATATTTCTCTACACTGTCACTTAACATGTCCTGTTGTTTTGAAATGAAAACCAAAATAGCAAGAGTTCCCATTTTTCGTCCTACTTTCAATAGATGACTGACAGAAGGTCCTTCTCTGACAAATCGTGTACTAATATTTACAGTTGAGCTCAAGCATTCCTATCCTTACCCTTGTTCCCAGTCACGAGATCAACATTAGAGTTATCTACCCTTGAGCAAGCTTAATGTACTAATGAATGATTCCAATAATGTTTTCAATATATGCGTTTCACAGAATACACAATCGTAATAAAACTATTATGATACTCGCCAGGAATTATCGTGCTCAATAGTAAGTCCATAAAGCGACAACAATAGTAACTAGTATTTAACGGAAAGAGAGTATCACGCTAGAAACAAAATGGCGGCAAAAATGAAACGACGGAAATTTTTGTGGTTGTTTGTTGTGACAATATCGATTTTGTTTGTGTCCCTGGTTCTGTACTTAAGACATAAACTAGGTAAGGTCTCATAGAAGTCCCGGACTTTTAATTTTTGGAAACAGAGATTACAAAGATGGAATGTTTGGGCTGTTAGACACTGATTATGCTTGTCACGACTCGCACAGATCAATTTTCTTGTTGAAAGGCGCTGGTCGTCTGTTCATGAAGGGCGTCAACTTGATCACATGCACCTCAGCAGTATCGTTGCTACATGCAGTTGCACTGCTGTAGGTCCGGTGTCCAACATGCACTTGGCCCTTGATGCAGATTAAATACTATAGTCTGTAGTGAAAACGTACCGATAAATTTCACTTGGAAAAAAAATCAAATCAAATAAAGTTAAATTTAGATTGCGAATCCTCAGAATTTGACATTGACAATTGAACATTTAAATATCAGAATTTTGTTCAACGTAGGATAAAAGTTATTTAACAAATGATCATAGTTTCAAATCGCTTTTATTGGTTTGTATTACAACTTACAAGGGGATTTGAAACTATGATCGGTTGTTACACAACTTTTAGCCAAAGTTGAATAAAATTCTGAAATGTAAATGTTCAGTTAGCAAGGTCAAATCATTAGGATTTGCAATCTTAATTTAACTCTATTTGATTTACTTTTTTGTTTAATGTGAAATTCATAGGTACGTTTTCACTGCAAACAGACTATAGGCATTCTTAATGATCTGACGTACAGATTCAAGGAATGCCATGATTGCAGATTATATCCTAAGCCTTTTTAGGTGTGTAATTTAAATGAGAAAGATAGTTGTACATATTAATTCAATTAGTGATACGACCAGCTGTTAACAACAAATTCGAATAACATAGCTTCATCATATCCTGTTTTGTATTCTGTCAGCCGGGATTGTAGCATATCGATGTGAAGAATACATCGAACTTGCCTAAACTTGCAACATTTTGGCTAATGTCATATTTTTAACTGACTAAAGTTCATAATATTTTACCATGGTTTTGCAACCAAATTTAGTGTGCTATTTAGTATTTATTAGCTTTCATCACCTTAATTTAACCCCTTGGTTTAAAAAAAGCACAAGGCTCTAAGCTACCATTAGTTACTCTGTGACCTTACCATATGTGACTGAGTGTGATTACAGACTAGTCCACTGTCTGTAATGATTTTAGGCAGTGCTGTACTTCTTAATGCTGGATATGTACGGTTCTGTTATTTTTTTCTAAATTATAATGGAGAATGCAAGAACGATGAGATGACTAAAATTGATCCAGGTCCCTTACCTGTATTTCATACTTGATAGTCGCATCTAGATATCTGCAAACTTGTAATACTGAAAGTAAAAGTACCATTTGAAAACCACAATGAGAAATCCCATTGTTCTTTACTTATTCATTCTTTTTGTTTGTTGTTTTACTCTGCACTCAGCAATATTCATGCCATGTGATGGTGGTCTGAAAATTATCAATCTAGACCAGACAGTCTAGTGATTGACATCATGAGCATCAATCTATGCAATTGGGATAATGACACACATCTACAAAGTCAGAAAGCCTGACCACCCAATCCCGCTATTCATCTCATCATGCTCATATACCCAATATCCTTTGCTTGTTGTGAACATATATTTTACCAAACTAAATAGAAAACAAGTGTCAAACAAATGTGAACCTACAACAAGTAAGTCCTTTTTTAACAACAATCAGACAATGATGTTCAATCCATATACTCATTAGGGCGGTGGGGTAGCCTAGTGGTTAAAGCATTCGCTTGTCACGCCAAACACCCGGGTTCGATTCCCCACATGGGACATGGGTACAATGTGTGAAGCCCATTTCTGGTGTACCCCGCCGTGATATTGGTGAAATATTGCTAAAAGTGGCGTAAAACTAAACTCACTCATATGCTCAAAACAGATAGAAACCGTATTTTCCAATCAGTTAAATCAAATCTTAACATGATTATGTAATCACAATGCCACACTTCATCCATGCTTGATAGTGTGATTCTATGAACCCACATACCTAAATCCATGTATTTGTCAAAGATTTAACACAGGTCATGTTTGATAGCCAGCAACATTGGTACAAAATGGATGTCTAAAGAAGCTCTACCCACAACTGCAACATGTACCAGTTGAGGGTAAATCGAAAAGTTGATGGCAACCCCATTGTTTTCAAGCTATATGTATTTTGTGTGTTAAGAATGAGTCTTGTAATATATATATATATTAATATAACATTTTTACTATATCAGTTTCTTAGTAATGGTATTGTGGTCAAAACTTATTTCAATATGTTATCGATGTGTTAAACATGTTAAAATAAATTTGTCTCAAATAAATTCCAGAGTCATAAACAACAGATCACAGGGGCTTGTTAAATGACAGCACTAAGATAAAATTTTAATGTGATAAAAATAATTGTAACAAGATTATATTTTACACAGGGATTGTGGAATAATGAGCATGAACATTAAAACAAGACTTTAAGTTTGTCTGTTCTTAAGTTATTTGTGTTTTGATTGAACAATGAATTGTATTCCAGGTCAGCTAGAATGCACAGCCAACAAAGGCCCAGTACCTTTCCATCAGTACCTCTTGATGCTGAAGAAACTTATTTTCGGAAGTGTGACAGAGGATAGAGACAAGAAATCACTACTGTGTGGCAAAAACATAAATGAAGTGTGTATGCACATTCTCACAAAACAGTTACCAGAAGATGCCAAATACTACCTTGTAGAATTCTGGGAGAAAGATCCAGAGCTTCGAGAATTTGTATTTCGGATTCTTGTTGTTGTTGGATTAATTTCTTTGACAATATTCTGCAATTTCTGCAGGTGGATGACAGCAACTGAACTTCATTATGATGATGATTATGAAGAAAAGACAATCAAATCAAATCTTAGTAAAAAAGGATCAGAGAACTCAAATAACAAGCCTTCAACCCAACGAATCTCAGATTTGAAGCAAGTTAATCATAATGTGTCAAGTTCTTTTGAAGATAGTTCAAGGAGCTACCAATCAGCCAGGAGAGAAGAAGGGTGTCGATCATGGAGTGTGTGGAAGATTATAGGTGTTACATTGGCAGTCCTTACCATTCTGAGCATACCATGGGAATTTATTAGACTTTATCAGAAAGAGGTATCTAAAAGGGCTGCCCAGGCATCCATAGTAAGTCTTGATCATGATTATTGTATACTAATGATGTTTTGTCAATATGTTGCCATGTTATGTTACTATTTTTATATGTTTTCCTTACATGAGTACACAGGATAAGATGGTTAACTTTCCAGTAATCCTTTAGACATGAACTCTTCGTCAGTCTTGATGCTAATTTGTAGGAATGAGGGTGCAGGGATTGGGATAGAGAACTTTGACAATGGGTCATTTTCAGGATTATTAGCCATTTTCTGAATTTAGAATGAGACACTGCTTTTGTATCAATAGTAAACTTCAAAATTTTAATCAATGGGCCATTTTTTATTCTAATGTGCAAAATGGCCCATGGCCCCTGCCTTTCCCAATCCCTGAGGGTGTTTTGCTAATTTTAGATTTCCTTGGTCAGAATGTAACAGTCTAATCTAATACTGAAGAAGAGTGTATTATTCTTTCAGTTTTTGATATTTGTATGAATCTTAGAATAATTGAGATAACCATGATAACAGCCAGAATATACTTGCCATTTTCTGGAATTTTGCCAGTTCCACTGAGCCTGCAGGATTGCTGTATGGCACCTCCTTAATGTTAATAATATACTCATCTTGTGTGTGTATCTCATCATCATTTTTATCTGCATCATTCATCCATCAATGTGTTTGTCTGGCACTTAAATCTGTTGTTTGTTTTCATCATCATGACGTTTATCATGTTATAACACCTTTGTACCATAGTCAGCCATAACCTATTTCTCTGTTATCATGTATACTCTATTAGTTTTAAGATAGGTGTTTCTTGAGCTATATTTTTTGTTGTTGTTATAATTTTGTGAGTTAGTCTGTTTTGGGCAAAAAGCACATTTTGTTATCTTACAAAATTAAAGCTAAAATTTGTTGATAAAGCCAGGATTCCCGACTAAGTGCCCTTTGGGTACATTGTTATCCTAGATTTTTCTGCAGACCAAATATCACGCCCTGAGCAGGTCTTTGAAATTTGTCCAAGTGAGCATACCTAGCATTCGTAGAAAAAGTTTACTAAAATTTGAATGTGTCAGCAATATATCACCAAACGCAAATGTGATTTTAAACCCTAATCAGGTTTTGAAATTTGGTTAAAGCCATTATTTTATGTAACGTCTTGATTAACTGTATGGTGATGAACTCAGACTGGATGTGCGTGTTTGCTTGCAGGGATCACCACCTGAATGTTTCCCCAGTGGCATGTCAGTCTTTCAGAGTCTCAGACTTTGGCTGAAAAGTCACTTCTCCTGGGACAGCAGCACTGACCCATGTGAGAAGTATTACTACACTATGCTGGTGGATCCATTGTGGGAGCTCACTCCTCTCATGGTAAGTCCCTTTTCAATGATGTTTAGGTTTTAGGGGCTGGGCGTGAAGGATAGATAGAGTGGTCTTCAGCAATCGATGCTTTTCGTAAGAGGCAACTAACAGGGGCAGTTGGGTAGCCTAGTGGTCAAAGAGTAAGCTCACCATGCCGAAGACCTGGGTTCGATTCCCCACATGGGTACAATATGTGAAGCCCATTTCTGGTGTCCCTGCTCAATGATATTGCAGGAATATTGCTAAAACTAAAAGCGGCGTAAAACCATACTTACTAATAGGATCGGATGGTCTGGCTTGCCGACTTGGTTGACACATCTCTTCATATCCAAAATGCGTAGATTGATGCTCATGATGTTAATCACTGGATTGTCTGGTCCAGTATCGATTATTTACAAATCACAGGGATTTAGCGGGATTACTGCTGAGTGCGGCGTCAACAATAAATAAATATTACAGCTTTCAAATAGCACATGAAAATGAGGTAATGTTTGGTGTATGTTTTCACAATTTTAAGTGAGTGAGTGAGTTTACTTTTACGCCGCATTCAGCAATATTCCAGCTATATGGCGGCAATCTGTAAATAATTGAGTCTGGACCAGGCAATCCAGTGATCAACAGCATGAATACAATTTTAAGAATTTTAAGAGTAAAATCCTTTGATAATTATATATATTTTTTTCATGACCGGTTTAATGTTGTATATTTCCAGTTTGGATTGCCTTTGTTTCAGGTTCTGTCATCAGCTCTGACAAGGTGTATACTTCACCCAATGGAAAAACTCTCGTCTGGACTAGGTCGCAGCTTTCGGGTGTTCTTCGCCGAGATTCCTGCCCAGTGGCAACCCATCATCATGGCCCTGCTTCTGCTCTGTGCATTAATGCTGCTCCTCGTTGTTTTCAGCTACCGAATTTCCATACCACTTCTGTTCAAAGTGGAACCCAAGACTCCTGTCCAGGACAAGCAACGGCCACCACCTCGAATAGAGCTTTCATCAAATTCCCATGGCCACTGTGATCATCCTAACCACATGCATCATGTGCCAGACAGACGAAGTGCGCTGAAAGGCATACCCATCAAGACTGCAGGACGCAGACGAAGACTTGCATCATGGGATAATGAGCGGGATTAGCATCACTCCACATCAATAACAATGATGATGAAAATAATAACTATTGCTGTTTCCATGAACTTGTGCATGCTCAAAACGCTAACAAATTATTACCCCAGATAACCCAAGCTGCCTGTGATGCTCTAGAAGGTTAAGAGTCATATGACTTATGACACCGGGTATCCATTTTCTGCTGGGTGAACAGAGGCAGTTCATGAACAAACTCACTTGCCTAAGGTAAGACCACATCAGTTCAGGATTTTTCTGGGTCTATTGATTTGTGAATCCCGTGGGATCTCAGGAACATTTTTTAGTGTCACAAGGATAAATACAAGGGGCCAAGACATATTTCACTGTGATGTATACTTCCTTTGACTTCCAAGAACTTTAATGATGTCCTGGAACTGCACAATATGAAGCACTGCAGTAATAATGGTCTCTACCGAACTGAAGTTTCAGTACAATGAAAGATCGCAAAAGTGATGAAATGTCTGTAGAACAAAAGGCTGTTAATTACACTCTCTGAGGGGAGTTCATTGTGCTATTAATTACACTTTTTGAGTTGGGGTCATTGTGCGAAATGGGGACCAACACATCTGCTCCCTTTGGTGATCTGACCGATCTCTCAGCCTACATCTTGTGACTGGACTGACTACATTAAGTTGCTGAGTCCATGTTTTCAACAAGAGGAAATATTTGTACCTGTATACTGTTCTTGTTGTTCTGGCTGTTCTTTAGTATTCCCAACATGATGTTGATATTTGGATGCAAATATCTGCAAATATCTGCATGCATTGTCATGTTGCCATGGGATAAAAGAAGTTACATACTGTATATCTAATGTATATCTAATGAAAAATGATCTCTTTTAACGTGCGGAATAAGACACATGTAATACCTACTTTAAAAAAATTGAACAATCAGTAATATGTTATTACTAGAATCCCATTGGTGTTGACTTTTTGCAGCTGTTGACAAAACAGCAGTATTTACCCTTTCATCAAGAGAAATATGTGTCATGTATTTGTTCATTTGCATCAGTGAATAATTATGATGCCTGAAAATGTATGCTTTTTACCATTATTAACAGTTTTTTTGGAATTTAGTGACTAGTGACTCTTTTTGTTTGTAGCGCTTTGAGCATGCTCTGGATGGACTATGGCGCATAAGAAATATCCATTTATTATTATTATTATTAATTTGAAGTTATTACGAATGGATCTGTAATGATTCATTCCAGCATGTTTGGTATGTGTTCATGATTTTATATCAAGTGTTTCATATCACCAGGTGATGTAGCTATACATCAAAACAAAACAAATCATGTTTATCATAGAACAAGTTCATATGAATTGCTATTGATTTTTGAAGAAACATATCATCTTCATTTTGGGACATATTCTTAAAGATAAGAATGAAAAAATGAAATTTGACTTGGAATCAGATTAGATGTGATTTTATGCTCAGGTCCATCTCTAAACACATCGAATGAGAGTTGAATCCTTATGATGATTTTGTTGTTGTTTATGATCTCAATAGGGCGCTGGGGTAGTCTAGTGGTCAAAGCGTTGGCTTGTCACGCCGAAGACCCGGGTTCGAATCCCCACATGGGTACAATGAGTGAAGCCCATTTCTGGTGTCCACCGCCGTGATATTGCTGGAATATTGCTAAAAGCGGCGTTAAACCAAACTCAGTCAGTCAGTATGATCTCAATACCAAGGAGAACATAATTTGATTCTCTGTTACAAGGAGTTGAATGTGTTATCATGAAACTGGCCCAGAAGTAATAACTTGCATTTGATGCTTGATAACATTGTTAGAGCCTACACCGAAACGTGCTTCCACTGTAGAAAAGAAATTGTTCATCGATATATTGTTATCCTCCAACTTCTGAAGTTTCAAAGAAGTTTTCCATGGGTCAGTTAACCTAGAACCGGTTGTTACATATCAGCCATGCAGTAGCATAATTATATCATCAGTATGTAAACACATATGATAAGGTGACAGGTCACATGATAATTTGTGTGACCAGCCCTTCAAAACAGTCTGTATTTGCTTAGTACTTTAGTTTAAAATGTTGAACAGCTAATTATAGACCACTTGTCATCATGGTGTGGGACCAATATATCCTTTAAATGTCCTGCATATCCAAGGATATATTTCTTCTAGTATTTGTATGCTACCTTAAGGTGGATACAATGTATATACATGTGAATGTCAACAATATTTGTTGACTTTAATGATTGATTGCATGGTATGTATATATGAATTGTGATAAATGATTCATAGTGAAAGTGTCATATTCAACTGTCTCAATGCAATCAGTGTTGAAATTAGATGCCTGTCAGGTATTATCATGCTAGGCCAGTAATTTCTTGCTTTTTGGTCACAGTGCATGATTTATGCATTTAGAACTTGCACTGGTGCAACGTGCAACCTCATATTTCTACCAGCTTGCACCCAGTGCTGTTAATATATTGCTGTTCAAAGATCACAGACTTCAGCTGGAAAACCGAATGATGAGGAACTAACTTGGAGCAGTCACTCAGATGTTTTAAACAGTGTTAAATATATTTCTTTTATGGTACAGGGCTACAGATGAGGGGCGTACAGGCGTAATGTACACCTAAATTTCAATGAAGTACGACATAATATAAGATTTCAAGCGTATCATGTATGCACATAAATACCTTGTACGTCTAACATATATAAAGTTTTAATAGCTGAAAAGTTGTTTAATATCATAAATAACAAACCACATCACCAACTCACTCACGCAAAATCATGTCAGTACTCCTTCAAAATTCTCAGTACACCTCCACTTGCAATATGAGGTGCAAGTACACCCACACCCCCAAAAGTAATCTGGAGCCCTGTGGTATTAGTGGAATGTGTTCAAAATACTGTAATAATTCATCCCAGATAGGAATGTTGGCATGTAATGTTGGCATGTGTGAATGTATCCAGCATATGATCATCACCACAGGTTTCTGTTTTCCTCACCCAACACCTTGGGTCCTTGCACGAAAAGCCAGGGTATCACATGACTGTTGTTGGTCTATGTTGAGGTTGTGATGTTCACCTTACAGTTGTATTATTCAACTACTATTGACTTACAATATGTGCAATTTGAACAGCTGTATCAGTTTCCAAGCTGTCAGAGCTTAAAACTTCAATGCTTCCAGTATAATACTGTTTCAGCTGTAATATTTCATTCTTTTTCATAGAGATCGTCCTTGGGGTACATATATGCATTTTCTGCAGCTGAAAATGTCATGTGACAGTTGGATCAATGTTTTAATAAAAATATTGTACAATAAATAAAAATCTTTTTTATCTATTATATGGCCCCCACCACGTGGAGTTAGCTCCCTGCTACGCATGCGCAGCCAACCAGGTAAGCACCTAGGCCCGATCATCATTCCTTCTGCTGTCACTCAAGCGTTCACACGTGTTCCGAGTTACTAGCTGATTTACTTCTGTTGAGAAGAATGTCTGAGACTTCAACAACTGTATGCATGTTCTTTATTCGTTCTTGAGAGAACAGTTTTATTGACTTTGCAGTCTGTTATTTCTCATTTACATGACTTTGTATTAAATTTTTACGCTAGCGCTCCCGTGGTTTAAGCACGTGTTGCTATTCCATGGCGGGAAGTTTCGCGTGCCACATGGTTGAAATATTACGTTATTAACCAAGTATTTCACGTCGCATTGTCGCATTCACGTAATTTTCAATGTTTTGTACGTGTATATTTATGCTGCTGTGTTCCGCCGTTAGCTACATGCTTGCGTGTTTGCTTTCAGGCGTTTACTGGGTGTACTGTCTGCGGGCAGAATATCCCTAGAGCTGATAAGCATGACAAATGCTTGTGCTGTTTAAAGAAAGCAGGGCATAACCCTGAAATCTGCTAACTGTGTATGGCCTTTTCCCCCCGGGCCCAGAAGAGACGGGTGGCTGATTTCCTTTTTTATAAGGAATTGCCTTCTTTATAAGGGGTTTTGCTCCCAGTCGCCCTCTCGGTGCTGGCGCAGGGTCCGTTGAGGATTCCTGGGGTTCCGGTCCCTGCGCCAACCTGCCCCATGAGAGCCGAGGAGCCGGTTCTGTCCGGGCTTCCTCCCGTGTCTCGGGACCAGGGTTCGAGTATTGTGTCGGTTGCCGGAGCTGAGAGTTTCTTCGGCTCTTCCCTTCCTGCGGCGTCTGTGGCTCGGCCTCCCAACGGGTCGGGGTTAGGCCCCTCTTCACGTGGAGACCCAAATTCTGACTCGGACTCGGGTGCTGAGTCTATGGAGGTTGGGGAGGTCGAGAAGTCGGCACAGACACAGCTCCGTATCTTGCCTTCCCTGGTGCAGGACGAGATGGATCCCCTCCTGGTTGGTTCCTGCCTCCGGTTCGATTTACCCCAACTCGTTAAGAGGTATCAGCTTGGGGATGATTCTCTGTTCTTTGTGCAGGTGGTTGACGAGTGCGTACCTTTCCTCGATCGAAAGGTCGGCTCTGGAGGCGTAAGGGAGCACTGGGGACATTTCCCCGAATGTTGTTCTGCTCCGCAAATTATCCGAAGTACAGGCCCACCTGACGCAAGACTCTTTGTGGTCTGCTGCGTCTACGGTGATGTGCCCAGTTATTCGGCGGCAACACAGCAGACCTTGCTGGCCCTTCTGTTTCGGCTGGGAGGGACGTTTCCGGGGGCACAGCAGGTCATTCAGGAGGCTGCTGCAGCAGCTACCTCCTTCAAGGATTCTAAGGCCTTGTTGGAGCAACCTCTTGGTAGAGGTATGAGGAGGAGCCGTCCCGCCAAAGGAAAGGGCAAGGAACAGGCCTCTTCGTCTGGCTCCCAGCAGCCTTTTCGCGGTCGCGGGGGGTCTGCCCTGACCTCCCATTTAACCTGCAGGCTGTCGCCGTGGGTCCGTCCCAGCCAGTTCTTCTGCAGGGGACCACTCACGCCCTCTTACCACACGTCCCAGTGGGGGGCCGCCTCTCTCTATTCCTGCCGGAGTGGGAAAAGGCTACCAGCAACACTTGGGTGCTATCCACCGTCAATGTCGGCCATTCACCACTGTGGAAGCGAGGCCCGCCAGAGTTCACCGGCATACGTCGCACTCTGGTGCCGCCATGTCCGGTCAAGGCGGGTATACTGCGAGATGAAGTTCAGGCTTTGCTGGACAAGTCCGCAATAGAGCGCATACCACCAGGCGAGGAACAGGCTGGTTTTTATTCCACATACTTCCTCGTTCCGAAGAAGGACGGCGGGTTCCGTCCCATTCTCAACCTCAAGGGGTTGAATCGCATGCAAGATGGAGACACTTCGCTCGGTGATCTCCTCTGTTCAGCCTGGAGGTTGGCGTGCATCAATCGACCTAAAGGATGTATATCTACATGTGCCAATTCATCCATCGTTCAAGCAGTACCTCCGGTTCTCTCAGACGGGATGTATTACCAATTCACGGTTCTCCCCTTCGGCATATCCACTGCCCCCAGGGTGTTCACCAAGCTCATGTTAGTGCCGGCTACCCTCGCAAGGTTGCAAGGAAGGCGTTGTTACCCTTACCTCGATGACTGGTTGATCAGTGCGAACTCAGCCAGCGCGATTCGCCCAGCAGACGCTTCTTCGCCAGATCCTGGCCCCACACGAGTGGATGCTCGACCGGGTCACCAGGACAAATCAGATACCCGTTAGAACTCTGCTCTCGAAAGTACCAGACTTCAGTTGAAGCGCGGCCATGGCTTCCGGAAGCGCTTCCTGCTGGATTGACGGGCAAGGTGCTGTGGGCGTTTCTGCCTCTACCACTCATTCCCTGGGTCCTCTCCCAGCTGTCCACCCAGCCAGCTCGGCTACTTGTG